GAAAAGAGAATGCATTTTTCAACAGGGTTTCAAAAAAGAAGAAGCTCAAGAGCTTTGAACATAAAGCAAATTGCTGGATTTGCTTATTGTGAATGTACTGATTAACAGAAAAAGCTATTAAGGAATACATTAGCAGTGATGAAATTTACTTCAGGCATGCCACTGCATTCCTTTACTCTTTATAAAATATTTGTGCCTCTTCACCATAAAGTGAGCGTAGATGGGTTGTGAGTTTTCGATGTTGTATTTACTTTCATCTCACTTGAAACAGGCTTTATTTTGATGGAAGAGTACAGTTTTCAGTTTGGTGCCTAAGAAGGCATTGGGCTATTGGAAGTGATGGAAACTGCACAGCAGGTAAAAACCAAACCAAACTAAACCAAACCCAGCACTTTTACCTATAAAAAAGAAAAATCATGCTTTGGCAATGAGGAGGTGTAAAGAGGTAACACACAACTCTTCTAAGATTTAATATGTCAGAAAAACACATTAACAGAATGTTCAGGTCAGAAAACCAAAATATTTTTATGTTGATCATCCCTGTTCCTGTTTGTTCTTGACTTTTCTCTCTCAGTCCAGTCTGGACTATCCGTTCTCATTGATAACCACTTCTGGGACGTTTCCCCATCAGACGATGACCATAGCTCCAGTGCTCCTTATTTTTCCTTATGAACCTTCTCTATCTATCACTATTATACAAAACCACTATCCTTCCTGTCACTCAGGTATTAGCCTTTTTTGCTCCCTGTGCCTTATCCTGTAGGCAATATCCAAATACCGCCACATTTTCTTCAAAATTTTTGGAAGCTTCCTTTCTTTTCCACATAGCTATGTCTTTCCTCTTGTCCGCCATCGATCTTACACCTCTGACACACGCATCAGCTTTTCTCCACCTCACTATTACCACAGCTGCGGCAAAGATCAAATTAATTAATCTTTCTTCTCCATGTCATTTTCCACTCTAAATCTTTCCATTGCAGCCAGTTCAGGTTGTTCCTCTTTATCTAAAAGGCCTCTCACAGGTCTCTTGCTCTTTTTCACACCTGTTCTTGTTTCATTCCCCATTGTGCCTTCCAATATTCTGCTCTAGAAATGTCTTTTGCGTTTGTCCATCTCTTCACTGTTCCTTAACTATGGGGATCTGGTATTTTCTGGTTATTTTTTTTCATGGCTGTCTTCTCTTTGTGATAGTTTCCAAAGACCTGTCTTTCCATTTGTATGCATAATGCCTCTGAACTTCCGGTCTCGGTTATATGCTGCCCTTTTATCATTAGCCAGATAATTAAGGACAGATAAAGGGGCAGTCAGCACAGATGAAGAACATACATTTTATTGAAAATGCTCAATTTAAATATAAGATATTTAATATATTTATAATATATATTACAAATATATTTAAAGGACATGAATAAATATAGTTATGATAGACAAATAATGCATCCTAGTGGTGCCACCTAATTTGCATTTCATATGTTATTAATAATCTTTAAAGTAACTGTTCTGGGAAAGCACTGATAAGAGTTGCATATACAATATAGCTTGGAAACTATAACTAGACATGTAAACTGTTACTATTGTTCTAAGTCAAGTTCTCTAGGCAGATTTTCTTTTGCTGCAAAGTTAATGTGAGAGGTTGTTATGCCCCAGTAAGTGTCTTGTTGCTAATAATTTGATCACACATTTTCTTCCTTCGTAAAAAAAAAAGCCTTAAACTATTGACACAACACTTTTCAACTCAGTGAGAAAAAAGCCAGAATAACTTATCTGCAGATGAAATAAAACCTTGAAAAGACGTTTTTATGGAAAGCATATTTCACTAAAAAGTAATATATGACCACTATAATGGTTATTCTTGATATAGTAAGACACACGAAGGAACACTTCATGACAATAACATCTGTGTTGTAGGCTTTTTCTTGTCAAGAACCATATAGTGAATCATAAGTGGAGCTTTATTGTAAGCCATTCTTGGTGTAATTTTGTCTTGCATCAAGCATTGCTCTGTATGGTTTAATGAGTAAACCTACATTAACTTTCTTTCACCCAATGAAAACTTCAGGTTTTGACACTCTCATGGGTCGCTCTATGTAGTTCAGCCTGTGTTTGTGAGAACATCTATCTTTTAAATTGTAGGAGCATGTTTTTTAAAAAAATCAAAGATACTGCAGAACACACAATGTTACGTACTCAGCCAAACCAAGGATTTTTAAAATCTCTTTAGATACACACTATATTAAATAGAAAAACTGTTTCCTTTCTTCTTCTGTCTCATCCCTTCTGAAAGTCAAGCAGTTCACAGAAGATCTAACCTATGGCCTCCTGAGTAAAATTTTAAATATCCATTTATTTTTGCTCCCAACCTCAGTTTTTCCGTGGAAGTTGGCATGGCTTTAGCTTCATTCACCTAACCTTGCAAAGGAAAATACTTGCTATTAAGGGTGGTATATCAGCTTGTATTTTTTTCAGCAAATCTGACAGTGTAACGTCTGCAACTGGTTTCCTTGGCACATGCAGAAAAGTCATAACCACAAAGGCCATTTCCCCAGTGTCTTTTTGAGACAATCATGAGAAGAGATCTTGAAAGCATTTACTGTATGATTGAGTTTTGGGTTCTTCAAGGGAGCCTAAACTTTTGCTACTAAGAATTTGGAAATCCTGATAGATTTGGAAATCCTTTGGAAGTCCTCTGTCACCGAAGCACTGAATGATAAAAAACTATGTGGACACGTAAAAGGAAGCACTTCCAGAGTGAAAGCAGAAAAACAGCCAACAACAACTTTAGCTTTCACTGCATATATTTCAAAAGTAAATTTTATTTTCTTAGCACATTTTTTGCTACTGGATTTTCCTTCCACTCTAATGTATACTCTCATCTCCACTTTCCAACAGCAAAACAAAGCTAATGCTTTTTCTTATAGTTTCAATCTGGCCTTCACATGTGATTGAATGTACCCTAGAAGAGGTCACAGCAAGTGGTTTATTTGTGACTCTTAAATGTGCAGAGTAGTAGTGGAACAAATAGGTAGCATTAGCTCTGTTCTTCAAATTGTGTACAAAATAACTAATCCTTCTCTCATCTCACAAAAACAAGACCTTGTAAATAAGTTCTTTATTATTTATTGAAAGCTGACAGCATACTTGCTGTTGTATGAACAAGACTTTCTGCTCACTCTGATTTGCTGAGGGCAGGTACTGACCTCACTAATATGCAGAAGGGTTGTTTGCTCACTTCTTGAGTGCAGGAGCACTTTTTTCGCTGGAAATCAACAGTGGAGTTTAAATGTATGCTGTGGCAAAAGCAGGAAATCTTCATGCCCCAAAATATGACCAAAATAATGTGGGTGTGATGAATGAACATCTGTTTCAACAGATGTTCACAGCCAAAGCAAGTTTGTGGGTGCTTCCCAGCCCACAGGGAATAGATGCGGCTATAGTATTCCTTCAAATACTCCCAGGATAGAGTATTTGAAGGAATTCAGTAGCTGCCTTCCAAACTGTAGTGAAGGCTTGAAAGCTCAATTAAATTAGAGTGCTATTTATTCACAGATTTTTTTTTTAAATCCTAGTCTGTAATTAACAGCATTATTGTGAAGATTGAAGGTTTTATGTTGCCTGTGGGAATGTTGTAAGTAGTATCACATTGAATGCAGAATGACATGTTCTTAGGTTATGCATGGGCTTAGTGTATAGCAGATATAATGTGATACCCATTGTCCGTGACATATAAGAGAGGAACAAAATGAAAAGGATGCTTAACTGCATGGTAAAAGTCTTGGACACATGGGAAGCACTATAGTCAGTGAAATAATGTGGAGTCCCACATGTTCGTAGAGCTTCATGGACGCCAAGGTTATAAAATGCTGGTATTTGTCTTAACATAAAAAAAAGCTAACGATGATTTTTTATTTGTATTTGAGTAAATACTTATTGTATTATTAAAAAAATAGGGATTGACAGACAAAAGCACAGTGCGATAACTGTGAACTGAGTAAGTCAAAGGACCATATGGAGTATAGTATTAGTTAAGTCACTCATTCAGACCCCATCAGACCCTCTGTTTTAGTAGCTGCTATATATTTTCTTCACGTTATCTCATGTTTTGTAGCAGTCCAGTTGCTATAAGTAAGAGTATCCTCACAAGACATAAATATCTTCATTTAATTTTTTTTAATGTTATAAACTTAACAAGAGAAAGAGACTTTCCTATTTGTAAAAATTATTTTCTTGGCAAACACAATTGGTTGCTAAAATGTGCAGAATAAATCTTCTCTGTTTGATTATTCACTCTGAAAGAAACTTGGATGGTGACTCCAATCTTTACAGATCAATGTAATCGCCACATCTCAGACAGTTACAGGGGATGATTGCTAGAATAGTCACGTGGGTTTTTTAATTTGCTGGGGATTTATTACTCCTTATTTTGGGGGTGATACAATTATTTTTAAAATCATTGGTGCCTTAATCTTCAGCATCTTCACTGTTGCAATATCTCCAGTCTGACAAAGTGAGAAAGACCTTAGACCATGAAGAAGATAAAAGTACCATATTCATTCACTCCACTTTACTACTCTTTCTGCCATTTTGAGAAAATTTGAGTCTTACTTTAAACCTTGTGTTAGAAGTGTTTGCAAAAATAACCCTCTGTAATGTATCTATTTGTGTAATTAGATGGCTGATATTGCAGTAACTCTTGGTCATCCCATCCTATTCTGTTTGTGATTCCTGTTTTGACTGTCGTAGTCTCCAGCAAACGTGCACAGAAGAAAATAGTTTTAGTAAACAGATAACCATGTTTTTATTATTCTTTTTTTAACTGCATCTGATTTAAGCTAGAGGAATGGGAGAGCCTGTTTTCTTCCACTTCTTTGGTGGTTTTTATTTCTTCTTTGGTTTTTATTTCTTTGAAAGGGTTGCTGTGACTGACTTGTAAATAAGTGCTAATGACATTAGCATGGGCAGCACAGGAGAGAGAGATTGACATAGATCTCATTTTTTTCCAGATGAGGATAGGCATTCACTCAGGATCAGTGCTGGCTGGTGTCGTTGGTGTAAGAATGCCACGTTATTGTCTCTTTGGGAACAATGTCACCCTTGCAAGCAAGTTCGAGTCAGGAAGTCATCCACGCCGCATCAATGTCAGTCCAACCACATACCAGTAAGTCCTCGTAGCCTTTTCATATTGTTTTTATTTCAGCCTGTTTTGAGTTTGATCTTGTAACATGCTCTGTCCTCAACACATGAACTTCAACAGAAAGTCAGCAAGGCACCAGGACAACTGCAAAGAGGTGTTGCATGTCTGTCTTTCTTTTGCCATCAGAATGCGCAAAGAAGTCAGGCAGTGGAGGCAAGGAAGCAGAACAGGAGGGCCAACCAGTCCTGCCTAAAATAATGTGTAACAGAAGAAGTGAGAGATGTCTCCCATAGCACCACAATTTTATGCACTATTACAGCTTTAGGCTAATGATTTGGGTTCCACTTGCTAGACACAGTTCATGGAGAGAAGCTCATTCCCATTGGCTCAGAAGAAAGTCTTTAATTTTGCCAGCAAGGCCAAGCTTTCAAAGAGTTTTTATGCTTTCTTGAAGACAAAATTTCTTATGTAGCACTGTAAAGAGACACTTGATAGAAGCATTTTCTTAATGCTTTCAAAAGATTGCAAATGGCAAAGCATTATCCTTAGCTGTTTGAAGAAATTATGCAAATAGAAGGCTTGATTAAATCTTGTTAGGAGGAACAGCTCCTAAATAAAAAAGGTGTTCCTTATTGTTCAAATTTGACAGCTTGACTATTAGAATTTCTGCTGCTTGGATTACTGCTGATGTACTCACTTTTTTGGCAGGAGATCTCAATCTTACTCTTTTTTCCAACTTTCTGTATCTGAAGTAATTTTCTGAAGTACGGTTTTGCTCAGGTTTTAGGACTGTTTCTCTGTGGTAAATCTGTATGCAGTTGCTCAAACAATACTGCTTTTCTTTCTTTTTTTTTCTTATACAGAACTGTGAATCTCAATATTTATTTTTTCCCTATACCTATCTATGTAAATTAAAGTTTTAAATGGAATTTCTTCATCCAAGAATTGAAGCGTCTGATATGCTAAAATATAAATTAGTCAGAAGTTAAAGTTTAAAAGTAATTAAAACTAGTGAATAAAATGACATTCATCTGAAGAGCTCATTCACTCGAGATCACATTTACAGAATGGAGCAAGTGTAGCTAACTGAACAAGAGGCAGAAAAACGGAACAGACTTTTGATCATAAAGTGCACAGAAGCAGGTTCATACAGTTATCTGGTAACATGCAAGAGAAACACAGACCCAACCTACTATGGGGTATAGAAAATCTGTTCATTTAAATAAAAAGAAATTCAGTAAATACATAGGAAATTGCTGTTTGGAACTTGATGTCACTTGAAAAGAAATTGTCTTTGGGACCTTCCAGGTACAATGCTCTAGTGGCTTTGGTTCCTGGTCTTCCACTATGGGATAGGAGAAACCCTCTAAGACATTGTTTGAAAAGTGAACACAAGATTGTTCACCAAATGTGTTCCAGTTTTGAAAACTTATGCAGTACCAGGGCCTTTGGTGTTAATTTTACACAAATGGAGGTGATTCTGTCAAAATGCAACCAACACCCTGTGACAGGGACCTGAGCTTTTCTTGTACAGGAACAGTTCTTATAAAGAGATGTTCTCCAACCTGAGAAGGTCTTCGAGATACTCTGAAAGTGCAGTCCATACTTTTTCAGAAGAGAGATCTTAGTGCTTCACAAATGTGGTTCAGGGGTGTGATTCCATTCAGGGCTATGGTGTTGCTGAAGTTTGTGTCCCTGAGAGCAGAAATTGGGAGTTAGACAGTTTCATATTATTTTAAGAAAAGTACTGTTGGAAATATAAGTAGTGAGTATTTGTGGGGCCAATGATGCACAAAACTCTTTTCTTGGCATGCTGAAGCCAGAGTCACTTTCAGTGTGCCAGTGCCAGTTCTGTTGGTTTTGGTTATGAGAGTGATATGGCACCTTTTCTGTGAGACAACAGATTTGTGGTCCTTGTTGAGCAATGTGATCTAGTTGAAGATGTCCCTGCTCATTGCAGGGGGGTTGGACTAGATGACCTTTAAAGGTCCCTTCCAACCCAAACCATTCTATGATTCTGTGATTCTGATTCTATGATTGTATGTTTTCTTTTCATCACATTGCTGGTAAAAGATCTGTTCTGAAAGCCAGTTTGAGGGCTTGTATATGGAGTTTGCTAGAAATCTATGCTTTTATGCTGCCCTTTATCTGACTCCAAGTACATTGTAGCACAGAGAAGATGGCTTCTGTTTGTCTGTGTCTCACCTCTACCTGGCTGCCATTGGTCATACCATACTGTAACAAGTCAAATGCGGGTAACCTGGGTTTGGAGAGCATTCTTAGTAAGACCTAGCTAGCATAATGTGAGTCAGATTTTCTCACCCTGTATATCTTCCAGGTATCAAAAAGGGGGCTACAATTTTTTCACTTCCCTTTAATCCTAGAAATCCAGTAGGAGTAGGACCATTTGTTTCAGGATGGCCAAACTTTCACCTTATTTGATCATCATGTCTGGGCTTATCTTCCAGAAAGTTACAGATTTAGACTGTTGCTTTCAAAAAGGGAAGATAGTAGAAAAGTGACTGATGATGCAGTAATGCTATAACTTAGAATTGCAAAACAAAACACAACAAAATACAGAATTATTGGTATTTGTTATCTGCATTATTGTTCTATGTAAAAAATCTGCTGATATGTGCTGAACAAATTCAGTGCATAGATTCAGAGAACTTCAAGTGCAAGTAACAGGCTAGACACATGGTTACAGGTAAAGGAAGTAGAAATGGCAAGAAAATATATGTTTGAATGAGAGGCAGTTATCATTGAAGATGAATGGCTAAAAGTGATGATGAGAAGGCTAGGAACTAGTTTATTTTACATGCTTGAGAAAGTAAAATGAATATGCATGGGGCCACTTAGAAAGGCTATTTCAAATCATACCTTCTGGCATGGTTGAAAGCATGAGAACAGACAGGGGAGAAGTCAAGAAATGACACTGCTGACACAGAGGCTAGGAGATACTGCAATTACAAAATACTCTATGGGGCAGAATTATTCAGAGCTTCTGAAGGTGATCTATGAGGTTTGAACATAATATACGGGTATCATCCAAATAAACAAGTAGTGATCTGATGCATCTGTATATAACTTTTCTTAAATATAATTTGCATGAGTATATAATTTGCTGTGTATAAATAAAGTGATTCATTGCAAACTGAAATGTCTTTATAGTTGACGTTACAGTCCATCAAATGCTTCTATTTGATCCGACTGTGCTGTTGTGTACTCAGTTAATATTTTTATTATCTAAGAAGCAATGTTTTCCAAAGTAGATAATTCTGCAATCAGTATAAAAATAGCAGAATTTTCAATTAATCAAAGCAACTGGCTTTTATCATTACGTGTTTGTGTCTACCATGCCCCCTGATGAAAATTCTGATACAAGTTTTGTGTTTACAAAGCATGCAGATGCTTGAAACACGTCTAATACTTACCAGCTTTCATTTTACAGAACAGATTATGCATTAGAAAGCGTCATCAGCATTTAAATTATAATCACACTTCAGAATGCCTATTATTGGTTTCAGACACTTCCCTGAGAGCCCATAATCTGCCTATGTAAGAATCAGAGTCTAAAATTATAAATATAAGATGTGGTGTTGCCTAGCAGCAGCAGTGAACCTGGGGCAGCCTTGCTCCAGTTACATCTGCCTGGGCAGAGCTCTGCAGTGTGAAACAGCACCTTTTACAAAGGTGGCCTTTGAATCTGTTGGGGATAAGAGCTCACTTCTGCTCAAAATATCTTGTTCTCTTGACTCAGGCAGGTCTTTTGACTGAAGAATTACAGAGCTTCATTTAATTTGCTTTGAATCACTGAGCATTGTAAAATGACAGCACTGGAACAGCACTGGTAAAACTTCCAGTGAAACATGTAGAAACTGGAGAGGGAGTAGAGGATCCCAGATGGGTCCTTATTTAAACACCTGGCCAGGAAGGAGTAGGAGAAGAATAGCACATTCTGTGTTCCTTTACTAAACTGGCAAATCCAGCTTAAGGTTTATTTAATTCATCTACATTATCCTGAGTTGAATAAAATTACCCTATTTTCCATACTCAGGAAGGAAGCACAATGAGATTTATGAGACTCTTCTTCAGCACAGAAGAGAGATTAAATGTTTTTTAATTCTTTGTTTCAGCCTTGAATAATGATGTTTATCAGATATTAATATAATATACCTACATTCATCCTGTTTCCCTAATAGTATTACAGTGTAATGCCTTGGGATCTCTAAGCAGTTATCAAAAGCAGGTAAACAGAATTGTTGCTATTTGTCAAGTAACTGTATTTAAAAATTAATTCTCTTTTTCCTCTTCTTTCCACCTCTGGTCTTTTCCAGCATGTGTTTCCCGTATGGAGAAGGTGCTTCTGGCATCAAGTGTTGGGTACAGATACTTTCCATTATCCCATGCTGGGCAATACATCTGGGACCTGAGCTTAGGCAAAGCTGAACAGCCTATATCTCACATCCTTACCTGATTCAGGGGAGAGAGCAATCAAGCATACCTCCTTACTGAGCTGGGTGAGGTCACTGCTGGTTCATCTGATAAATTGCCCCTAAGCCTTTAAAATTAATTAAAAACTGCAGAATTTGAATAGGGTTTTAACAGTTATTTCACAGAATGTTGTGTGGAAGAAGTTTTACTTTTAGGTAATTAAGAAGGATGTATATACATCTCTCTTTATCAGGATTTTAAATTGAAACTATGCATTTCTATAAACTCATTATAGATTTTTATTTTCATCAAATTCTTTTTCCTATAGGTTATATCTATATATATATATATAATTTTTCCTACAGGTTGTATCTATATCTATATTTTTCCGCCTCATCTGGACAAACAAATGGATTTGCTCTCCAAGAGCCTTTTCAGATTTTTTTTATTTTATTTCTGAGCATCCTTTAAAAAAATGTTTCTTTTTATATTGGTCAATTCACCATGTATGCTTTTATGGGACATATTGGTGGACAGGCAATTTAGTTATGGACAGAAAGGGAACACAGCTTACAGATGGACCCAAAAAA